TTCCTGGGTGATTGAAACCACCCCTCACGTCGATGAGAAAAGTTCAAGGTGGGGGCTGGGATCCCCCGAGTCATTTGGGGGAACTAGAAAGAGAGCATTCCAAAACGTCGTCGTCGAGGTCCTGGGGGGGTGGGGGGGGCGACTTTCAATAGGCGACCAAGAGACCGAAGGCCGGCGCCGCCCGGAGCGCAGCCAGGAATGTGGGAGGAGCCGGCTCCAGGCCAGCTGCTCTCTGCGCTCCCCTTCGGCCCCATTTTCAGCTCAGCTCCTTCCAGCTCCTCTGGGAACCTACTTGTCCACGAACCGGCTTTTCAAATCGACCTCCTCCTGTGCCGTCCTTCAGCCAACTGTGGCCGGATTGAAGATTGTTGAAACCCTTTGAAATGGTTGGGGGCGGGAGGGTGGCAGACTGCTTTTGTGAGACGTTCCAATCGCATGAAGCTCAGACGACAGGGCTCAGACCGTTTTCCTGAAGCCCAGAGGAACCTTCATTCGGGTGTGGTCTATCTAGTTGCTTTCAAGCTGCTCGAGAGGAGCCCTGCTGACGATGCAGTGGGTTATGCACGGGGCTGCTAACCACACGGTCAGCCGTTCGAATCCGCTAGTCACTTGGCAGGAGAAAGATAGGGCTTTCCAACACTCCTGTAGAGTTAGCCTCAGAAGGCCCCAGCCCCAGTTCTATCTTCTCCTGTAGGGTCACTGCAGGAGTCAGCATGGGCTGAGGGCAGTAACATGGGGTGGTTTTCATTGAGGTGGGGCAAAGAAGCAGTTTGCTCTCGGCTGCTGACCTAACGGTTTGGTGGTTTGCACTGAAGGCGTTGTTGACTCCATGGCAGTGGGTTTTTAATGGCCCATGGCTCTCATTTTATACCAGCAGTATTAAGAAACTCTGACAAGAGACTGTATGGACCACAAGATCTAAAATATTGACTATCTGGCCCTTTATCCAAAAAGTTTGCCAGTCCCTGCTTCAGTGTTTCTACCTGTATCCCCACCCACTTTTTTCCACTTCTCCCTCATGCAGAGGGAAGCTGTTCTTGTGGTGGGCTGAAAAGGCAGGCCCAGGGCTAACACGGTGGCGGCGGCCAAGAACTAGTCCAATTGCCCTTGAAGAGGGTGGTGGATGGGACGGTAGATACATAGAGAAGAAAGTGAGGGTGCTTGGCTGGGAACGAAAGCTGCAATCATAGATTGTCTTTTATATCTAAGTTATTCTTCACACCGGGTGAAGTGGGGTTTTATTTGTTTTTGCTTTCCTCAGCTTCAGAATGCTTCTAAAGCCAAACTCCCTCCACCAAGTGCATTCCATTCGGATTCATAGCAACCCTAGAGGGCCCAGTAGAACCGCCCCCCCCTCGGGGCAGTTTCTGGGACTGAACTCTTCATAAGAGCAGAAAGCCTCGTCTTTCACCTGTGGTGCCATTGGTGGTTCCGAATGGCCGACCTTGCCGTTAGCAACCCAACACATAACCTCTACACCCCCGGAGCTTAGCGTGTATTTTTAAATGACTACACTGAATTCCAGGTATCTGATGGTCTTCTCCTTCCTGGACAACCCCCACAAAGTGGACTGTGGGGACACTGTGAGGTGTCGAGAGCCGTGGTTCTCGCTCTCAGCCACTGCTCCACTTGGAGCAAAGCCTCTCCCTCTTTGGGCCTCCTCAGGAACCAGCTCCAAGGTCACCTTGAACCCTGCAAATTATGCAACGCCATTTCCGTAATTTGATACCTGTAGGTATCTTTCTTTTGCCCTGGAGCACTGCCACTGGGAGGGGGGTGTGTGATACAGAGCCATGTTCATTTTCTCCATGTGACGGTCGACAACCGCTTTCAAGAGAAGAAGAAGTCTAAATTACACAGTCCGGACTGACATGGCAGGGGGCGGGGGGAGGAGAGGTTAAAGCGAACGCCATTTTGAAACTGGAAACGTAAAGGCTGCTGAATTCTGCCAGGGAAGGGGCAAAGGAAGCATCTGTAGGTCTAGCCAAGGGTCGCAAAGCCCTGCTCCTGCCCCTGGAACCACCCACCCTGTCTGGTGCCCCTTCTCAGCCAGCCTTCTCCCTGTCATGGGGCACGTATGGCAGCGGGAGTTCATTCTGATCGAGTCCAAGCACGTCTGTTTCTAGGCGGTGGCGTTTGATCCCTCCTACACTGTCTGAACCTAACAACTTTTTTTTTGAGAAGTTCCCTTTTTTTTGGTGGGGGGGTGTGTGGGGATTTAACCATGTGTCAGTTGGAAGTCAGATCCTCTTTCAGAAGAGTTCAGATGTTCTAAAAGTCCCCAAGAGGAGAGGCGCCTCGTGTTGGGTAGGCTTGGAAAGCCCCTGAGCAGACAGCGAGGTGATTGTTAAGCAACAGGGAAGGCAAACAGTTCTGTGGCTGAGGGTTCAGATCAATAAGGAATCCCTTAGGCTAGGTTAATTACGGGACCTGAAAGCCTCTAGCTGTGGGCTCCAGAAAGTCTACTCCAAGAGCAAATGAAAAGCTAAATGCCATGTGGCAAAAGTCATCGTCCAGACATAAACTATTGTTCATAGTAACTAACTGCCTGGGAAAGAAGGGTGTGGCCAGGAGTGGCCCCAAACGCCTGCAGTTTCCGTGGCTGTCCACCAGGGGGGGCCGGGGCCTCGCCAGTCCTGGAGACCCAGGTCCCTGCCGAAATGACCGAGTGGCTAGGCAGGATAGGATTTCCTTGAAGAAGTCTGAGCGTTAGATACAGTCTAGGACAAGACTTGACTCGTTTGGTCCCTCCGGGTGCAGTCCAACTGTGCAGTTCAGCGCTGTCAACCCCACCCGAGCTATCCAGCAGTCCTCATATGAATATGTGAATTTTCTGGGCTTCAAGTTAACTGCAGCTCCACCTCCAGAGACACTTCCCTTTTCGAAGTAAAGGGATCCTGAGCTCCTGATTGTAAAGACAGCTCAGCCAAGTTGATTGTCTTTCTGAGCCGCAGATGCCAGATGTAAAACGCTGGGTGGTTAGCTCTCAGGTATGAAAACCACTTTGGGTTTTTTGTTTTGTTTCATAATAATGATAACAATAATATCTTCAGTGTAAAAAATATATATATATATCTTCAGTGAAGGTTTGCACAGCAGTTTAGGCTCCCATCCAGTAACTTCAGTGACAGTGGGCACAGTCTTCATAAGGTGTAGACGTGCTCATTAGTCCCGTCGAGTGATTCTGTTTCCTTCCATCTGGTTTCCCTGCCCCTTTTCACTCTCAAATCTTTGTTGTAAAGTCATTGTTGGTCCCCTTGTTGAAAGTCACTTTTTTGGAACATACTTTTAGGGCTACTCCCACCTCAGACACAATAACAACCAGGCTGTTCACTTTTTTTGAGAACATGCTTGTCTTGGGAATTCGAGACTGCGTTTAGAAGAACTAGGAGCCCTGGTGGCCGGTGTAGTGGTTGGGCTGAGATCTGCAGGGTCAGCAGTTCGAAACCACCAGCAGCTCCACAAGAGAAAGACTGGGCTTTCTGCTCCAGTAAACAGTTACAGCCTCGGAAACCCACAGGGAGCCACTATGAGTCAGCATTGACTCGATGGCAGTGAGTTGGTCTTTTAAAAGAACTTGCACTTCATTCATCACACTCTATACACTCTGGCGGAGTGGGAAATAATGAAGTGTACAGATAATGCATGCTGTGCATATAGATTTTTGAATACACAGTAGTTATACATGTATGTATCTAAATAATAAGGGGTCTGGTGGCATAGTAGGTTAGTCATTGGGCTGCTAACCACAAAGTCAGCAGTTCAAAACCACCAGCCTCTCCTCAGGGAAACGATGAGGTTTTCTGTTCCTGTGAAGACTAAGTCACAGGAACCCAAAGAGCAAGTTCTACTCTGTCTTATCTGGTCACTCTGAGTCAGAATCTGCTCTATGGCAGTGAGTTTATCCAATTTTTTTTTGTTGTTCATTCCAATTAACCCCGTCACCTCAACCCTTATCCAGGAAATTCCCTTTGCTGCTTTCAAATATCCCCCTCACGTTCCACACATACCTGGACCTATATGTCACCAGAAATTTCACTAGGAACAAACTGTGAGACAGGCTGGAAAGGGCACTCATACATAGAAGGTGACTTTCCGGGGCTCCTGGACTTCCCAATCCTGCCTTTTAGGAAACCGATCTGGCCTGAAATGAGGCATGGTGCTTGTCTGGAGTGACTGCTAGCATCCAGCCCTGACTGAGCCCTGACTTTTTCTCCAAAGGCCAAAGTGTCTAGCCCCACGGAGACGGAGCGGTGCATCGAGTCCCTGATCGCCGTGTTCCAGAGGTATGCTGGGCAGGATGGGCACGGCCTCACGCTCTCCAAGAGGGAATTCCTGAACTTCATGAACACGGAACTGAGCGCCTTCACAAAGGTACTGCTCCCAGCCCAGACCCCCCAAACGACCCCGGCACCAACCCAAACCCTGGAAGCAGGCCCAGGACGAGGGCCCAGCAGCACCTCCCCCACTCCGGGACAAATGTCATGGTCTGCTCAGGGGACAAATGTCATGGTCTGCTCAGGGGTTCCCATGACCCACGCTGAGTGGTCCATAGGGTAGCCCAGACCGAGTCTCGAAGACTCGGGCTGAGCTCTGGAGGGCTTGTCTTTGAAGAGGATGTGTTTTAAAGATCAGCATGTACAACCTGCATGACACGCAGACAGTGGCGAGCCATTATTTTTCCATTTCGGGAGAGAGGCATAGGAAATGGCACATGGTCTGACGAAGTTGTTTTCTAATTGTATTCCTCCACGCCAAGGTTCTAGGGTGGCCCTATCCCATAAACATTTCTGCGCAGGTGGGAAGAGATTTCAATACCTGTGCCATCTCGTATAGCGGCCACTAGCCCCATGTGGGCATGAAGCCCTTGAAAATGTGTCCAGGGCAACTAAGGGGCTGAATGTTTTTGTTTAATTAGCATATATGTAAATAGCCACATAAGACCAGCAGGCTTGTAAATCGGCTGTGAGGTAGGGCCAGAAGGATGAGGCTGGTCGGGCGGGGCCTGTGGCCTCCTCCCACCACATATCCCTCCCCTGTGATACATTTTCCATCTTGGAGCTAGCTACCTGCAACCCTTGAGCAAAGTGTTCCACACCTCCACTGCGTTCAGTAGCCACTCATATCCCAGGAAGAATCCTAGATGGGGAGCCAGAAAATGTAGGTTCAAATCCCAAGTCCTCCCCCTTGGGGAAATCACCTCCCCTCTTTCAGGCTGCTTCAGGCTCTGAAAACTGGAAACATGCGTCCCCCTGACCCAGCACATCTGACAGCTCCTTAGGAAGTACCAGACAAAGGTATTCATTGTCGTTATTAACATCCTCTTGGCAGCACCAGAAGGACCCCGGTGTCCTGGACCGCATGATGAAGAAACTGGACCTGAACTCCGACGGACAGCTCGATTTCCAGGAATTTCTTAACCTGGTGGGCGGCCTCGCTCAGGCTTGCCACGACTCTTTCATGAAACGCGCCCGCTAGCAAGCCTGAGGAGCCCTGCAGCCTGGCCTCCACGCCCAGCCCCCACACACCCTGAGCCAAGCGCCCCCACCACCCTGCAGGCCCAGTGCCCCCACCACCCCGCAGGCCACTCCCGCCCTAATAAAACTGTATGGTTTTTTTAAACAACCACGGGTGTGTCAGTAAATCTGTGCAAGGGAAGGGGCGGCGTGGGGTGAGGAGGATTATAAACTATGTCGGGCTCAAGCCATTTGCCTGAAGCTCTGGCCAAACCCAAGCCGAGCAGCTGTCGATTGGGTGAGCCGATAGGACGGGGTAGAACTGCCCCTGTGGGTTTGCGAGGCTGTAACGCTGAGAGCAGGGAGCCTCCTCTTCCTCCTCTGGAGCAGCTGATGGGTTTCAAGCAGGGGCCCTGCGGCTAGCACCCAGCTCAGAACCTACTGCGCCACCATGAAGGAGTGAACAAACAAATCCACACAGGCATCTGAGTGAGTGCCGAGCCCAGAACAAGGCCCTAGGTTAGAGGCTAGCACAGGCTGGGCAGGACACTGTTCTGAGAAGCTGACACTAGTGCCCTAGTGCCGAGATCCAAAGGAAGAGAAACTCAAACCACGCCCACCACCACTGAGTCCATTCTGAGCCAAGCGGTCCTATGGGACAGGACAGAACTGCCCCTGCGGAGTTCTGAGACTGTAACTCTGTACAGGCGTAGAGAGCCTCCGCTTTCTCCCTCAGAGCCGCTACTGGTCTCAAACAGCTGACCTTGTGGGCAACGAGGAATGCACTACAGGCCACCAGGGCTCCTTGAAGGAAGACAAAGCACTAAAAATGTCAAGCAGTGCAGGAGGCTATTCCAAGAGGAGGAATAGCAAGGGCAAGGGTCTGAGGGGAGGAGCTGGGAGGGCTGAAGGATTGATAGGAGGGTCGTGCTACCATCGTCTTTATATTGGGCTATGGTTTTCCTTTCCCCTCCCCCCACGTCCCCCCCACACACACAATTAAGAAGGTTTATTGGAGAAGTCCAAAAGTTACCACCAATCAAGATCAGCAAACAGGACATAGGCATGGGTGTCCTCAGCCAACAATTAAGTCTATCTCTCCGGCACTCTCAGCCATATCGTAGGTAGCCACATCTCTCTCTGGTCTGCAGTCTCTCAGCCACATGGTCCCTTGTCCTTTGCCTACTGGGGCCAGGCGGTTTTCCTTCTTGCTGATGTTTGGCTTCGGCTAGTGTGAACATGTCAGCCTCTCAGACTTGTTCCATTGAAGCAAGCAGGGCATCAGCTAGCCAGACAGAGGCTCAGTGCTCTGTAACATAGTCATGGAAGTGGCATGCCCGCAGCTCAGCCGTCTTCTGT